GATTTACGAATTTTGATAGCATCAATGTTTAGACGTGATCCACGGTAAGACAAAATAATATTTTAGATTTAGATCTTTATATATTTTATCCGTAGAGAACGTCCAGCTATTAATACAATTTTACGAAAACCATTTATAAGTCGACGTATTTCAAAATATCTACCAGAAGAAGTATAACTCTATAGTTCTGAACAAATATAGCTACCTTTCATTCAATGCCTACTATTCTTGATGATAATGAGTTGATATTTTGGATACATGCGTGCGATAATAAATCCTGATCTCAAGCACTAACTCGTCCTCTATTGGGTCAGGAGTTGTGATTAGGGTTGATGATATTTGTTATGAGTAGGATGGAATAAAAATTCAGCAGAAAATACTTTCATTCCCGGAGTACTAGAAGTGGTGGCCAGAGAGGAAGAATGAAACCCACCATGACTCTGTCTCTCCCTCGAGGCCTGTCCTACTCGTTTTGTTTCAATTTCTGTCAGAGAAAGGCAAATAGTGTTTCAAAACCTAGCTTCTGTCCAAAATTGCCATAAAGTTGGAAATTAGAGAGGCATCCAGCTCCTCTAATCGAGAATCCTAGTTATGATTCGAATATTTTCTTTCCCTTGTGGAAAAATATTTAGCGGAAGTATGCACTCAAAAAGTTTTTGTTTGTCATGTTACTACTCCACGAGCTACTATTTGTTTTTTTTTTGGCGTTAAAGAGACTCCCATATGTCTATTTTGTTACTTCTGAAATCCGTAACACATAGTAAAAATCATAGTAATTAGCACGTCCTGTGATAATGGAGTCATATCGTAGCGCTAACTCGATTTCGCTCAGTGCTACAGTTCTAAAATTTTTCGAAGAGAAATTTTCACTAAAACTTTCAAAGGAATAAGTCAAAGCCATCGCCGAAAAGATCCATCTTACTAAAAACTAATATTTGCTCTTCAACGGACATTATTAATGAGAGGACAGTATCTCAGTGATTTCTAATTAGAAATTGCGCTTTCAAATGAGCGATTGAATGAAAATATTTATGCCAACATATTTGATATAAGATGATCACCACAGGAAGATGCCGTCTGAATCATAACTCCAGTACGTGTGAATTGATGGAGGGCGGTTAGAGTGTTTTGTAGCATGCATGCACCCAAAATATCAGTTCAGTACCACAAAAAAATGACAGGACTTCATGGGAGACAGATATTTCTGTCCAGAACTGTACACATGATTTTTCTAATAATATTTCATATTTTTATATCTTATAGCAACATAAAGAAGAATTTAGTCATACTGTTTTACATAATAACAAAGTTTCTGTTGATCTCGGACAACCAAGTGTAAATCGACCACCATCACCATCTCCTCGTCAATTGATAGTTCCAAAAGCAATTGGTATTTCTCCATCTCGTTCAGTAGTTGCTGTAAATCGTGTTTCAGTTGTACCAAAAGTTTCTCCTCAAGAACCAATTAAAGCATCTCGAGGTCCATCAATTGTTAAGCGTCCAATTTCAGCTGCTCGTGCTGTTAATCGGTATATAAAATATTGATAAGAAATTTCATGAATACTAATATTTTATTTCTCTAGAATATCAAAAGAAAAAAAATCTATTGCAGTTAATCAACGACCAAATTCATCTATTGATAAAGAAAATGAAATAGATAAACGTCGTCAAAAACTTGCTCAACAAAAAGAAGCACGAGAAAAATTAATTAAAGAACAAGTATATTAAAAAAAACAAATGTTTCTATTCAAATTTAAATAACTGATCTATTTTAGGCAGAAAATTTAGCTAAAAAACAACAAGAATTTATTGAAAAACAACGAAAAGTAAATATACAACGAGATCGAGAATTTTATCGTTTAGAATTAACAAAAAGTTTACCGGTATAATCAATTGAATCATTTTATTACTTTCTATACATTGATTTCTTTTCAGGAAACGTCAGACACTAAAACTCAACGTGCAACACCACCAGTATTTTTACCAGTAAGTCAAAACTAGAGAAGATCTTATACTTTTAGATATTATTCTATTACAGTACTCATTCAAAATATAAAGTCAAGGATTTTTTTTATTTTTTTGATCAGTACTGTATATCAGAAATCCACGAGACAACCTTGCGCCGCCTTGTGCTCTCTTCATCATTCTCAATTCACAAAGCTAAACACGAAAGACTCTTACAGTGTGTCCACGTATAAGCAATGGTAGTGCGAGATAATCTCACAAATTTCTACTGTATAGACTTTAAACTACAAATGAATTTTTATGCCATTGAAACAAATCTAAAAGATTCGAATGATTTTTCTCTCTTATCAAAATACATTTCTTTTTCTAGCATAAAATAAATCAAGTATCTAATCCATCATCAGCCAGAGAACCAGTATGTTTTATTTTCTAATACATTATTTGATTTATCTTCTCTCACAAAAAATTAAGGTTATTGGATCACCAAATGTTAACGTAGCAAAAGCAAGTAATGATATTCAATATCATGAACAATTAGATAAACTTAAACAAAAAATAGCCGAAAATGAAAAGAAAATGAATGAATGGAATAAAGGTATCTATTAAAAAATAAATTTCAAATTGAATTATAATCTCATTTAATTCTAGTTAATCAACCACAAAAACCAATGATCAATAATCATAATTTTCGTCGAAAACCAATGTAAATATTTAAATATATTCAATATGTTTGTAAAGTTTAAAAAAAAAACACATATTTTTCAGTGCAAAGGTTGGTCGACCAATAGGAATAGAAAATAAACCTCATGTAAAAAATCATGCTGGTGTTGTTGGTATATTAAATCGAAATCTTAAAGAAATTCGTGAAAAAAATCTTTTAAATAAACGAGAATTTATACGAAAACCATTGATTAATAAAGTATGATTAATTAATATCTCGTTGTGTGTGTTTTTTTTATTTCATTTATTCTATAGCCTATTGATTATTTTCAAGTTAACAAAGGTTACCGTTTAAGAAATAATGAAAAAGAAGTAAATATAAATTTTGTTATTCATTAAAAAAAAAAATTTTGTTTTCTTCAAATAGAAACAATTTTTAAAAAAAATCGAACCTGTTGATAATAATCTTACAGATTTATTAAATAATATTGGTGTTCACCCAATAAGGTTTTATTATTAGTTTTCTTTTTCTTGAGAATATTTTAAAAAAAAAAATTTCGTTTTAGTTCTGAACAGCAAAGAAAAAGTATTCGAGAAGCTTGGCAAGAATATGTTGAATTACCTAAACCACGTTCATTATGGAATCAACAACCACATATTGATTCTACAGTTCTCAATCGTTTTACACCTATGAATGATTCATCTGGTAAGAAATAAAATTATCATTAAAAAAAAAAGAAAAATATAATTCATTTAAAATTTTCATTTATTATAGTTTCACATGTACCTAATTTAATGATTCACGGACAAGCAATGAATATAATTAGTGAAAATAAATCTAATCGACAAAAATGGTCAAATGTACCACGAGGAACAATTATTAGTGTACTTGAACGTGCTCCAACTCAAGATCATACAATGTCAAGTACAACTAATTCAACAGATAATAATAATAATAATAATAATAATCAAACATCAGATATTAGTTTAATAAATTTATCAAAACGAGTTGATCCAAATAAAAAAAATGAAACATATGTTATACCTAATACAATTGAATCTACAAATTCAACATGTAATATATCAAATAAACCTATTATAAATGATCTTATTATTGAAGATTATGATTCAACATTAACTAATCAAACAAAACAAAATGATTTGAAAGAGTAAAACAAAAATAAGAAAATATATCCATCCAATGTTTTTTTTCTTTTGCTGTAAAAAAAATAGAATTCCAATAATATCAGACGATTTTGATCTACTTGAAGGTTTAACTACTGGTCATTTCGATGCAAGAAATAGACTTGTAAGAATTTTTATTTTTTATTTTTTTTTCTCTCCATAAATATTAATTAGGAAAGTCGATTTTATAATGACTTCAACTATTTTTTAAAATAACTCATTAATCAATTCAGAGAAAAAATTAAGCTTTCTTCATCGTTGCACGAATTCCGAAATGAAATTACAGTATTTCAATAGTTTATAGACCAATCAAAAAGCTTTATCTTTTCATATAATTTTCTCTTCTTTTTTTTTTCTTTTGAATTTCTAGCTTCTACGAACTATTTCTAATCCTGAACTATATACAATTGATGAAGTTTCAGAAGAAATAACAATACAATCATTTAAATTTACTCGAAGTTTATCTGAATTAAATACAACAAATACTATCATTGAATCATCACAAGAAGATATTTTTACATGTATAAAATTTCAAAAAATTAGCAAAAGTAATTCAATATCAAGTAATAAAAGTTTTGAACATGATGATAAACAAATATTATCATTAACATCACAAAATTGTTTACATAATAATGAAACTAAACGAAAACATACAACTAGTGAACCAGTTATAAAATCAAATGATGATGATAATGACGATGATGATGTTTGGTGTAATCCAGAAGATGAAAGTAATCTTGAAAATTGTGTTAAATTTGATCAACAAAGAATCGAACAAATACGAGAAATTCTTGGTAATGAAGTCTTAAAAAGGGTTCTTGAAGCATTTGAAGTAAAAATAAATTTTCGACCTAAATTTTTCAATAATTTATTTTTATTTTTCTCTAGAAAAATGAAACAGATATTGAATCATTAAAAAAACTTATACCAGAAGATAAACATTATTTATTTAATTCTGATTTTTTATTAATATTAACAATGATAAATACACGATCAATAATAAACTAAATAATTTCCAATATTTATGTTGTTTGTGATACTAATAATATTATTATTCCGTACAATTTTATCTTTGTGTCTTGTTTTCTTTTTTTTTTGTATATTCTTATTTTATTGCAACTCATTCTATGAAAATATTGTATAAATTGTTTTGTTTTTCTTTCTAATATTATACATTTTTAGATTAAACGATGTTAAAATCTATAGTCTTATTGTCATGTCTTGTTTTAATTTTGGCATTTATTGGAAAGTATATGATAGATTTTGGTGTATTTCGACATATTGAAACAAAAGGACTTGATAAATGTCGATTAATTGTGGCACCAGATGGAGGTAATCTATTAAGATAATTGAAAATTTAAAAAAAAAATTTTTTTTTGACTATAGATGATCTAGCATTTGAAGATTTTGCAATTGATTATCAAAAAGGTATTGCTTATATGGGTGGTGATGATCGTAGATGGTTTCATACGTTTAATTTATTAAATCAAAATATTAAAAAACAAGGAAAATTTTTTTCATTTGATATTGAATCAGAAACATTTAACCAATTAAATCTTATCAATTATCCATATGAACATTTGCATCCATTAGGAATTGATTTATTAATCGGACGAAAGAAGCAAGTAAGATAAATTAGATAAGAAATATATATCCAAATTAAATAATATTTAGTTATTTATTACAAATTATCGAGTAGATAACGAAGAAATAATAGGAGCTGTAGATATTTTTGAAATTGATTCATCAAATGAAAATCAATTAATATGGATTGATTCAGTTGTTCATCCTTTATTTACAGGTAGTTATTTTTGATTGGGATCGGAAAAAAAAACACTCTAGGGGTTTATATGTCTTAACACTCATATTCATAATCAAAAGCTTAATAAATGAATTGCATGAAAACTTGAATTATTAATTTATACTAAAAGAATAATTAATAAATGAAAATTTTATATTATATTTAAAAAAAACATAGTACCTGATGATGTATTAGCAATTGATGACAAGACATTCTATGTAACAAATATATATCGTCATAGAAAAGATAAATCAAATTTAATGCATACAATTGAAGTTTTTTCTAAACGTCCTTGGTCTAATTTATTATTATGTTCAAAAACAAATGAATGGCAATGTTCTATAGTAAATAGATATATTAATATTATTATTTTCGAAATTTTAATAAAATATTATTCATATATTTCTAGGTTGTTGATTCTATTGCTTTGGCAAATGGTATTGGTTGTTCATTCGATTTTAAGACTATTTATGTAGCTGCAACAGCAGAAAAACGAGTCAGTCAAATTTTGTTTTTTGATCTTTATAAAGAAAATTTTATTATTATTATTATTTTTGTTAGATTCGTGTATATGAACGTCATTATGAAAATAATTCATTAACTTATATACGAAGTCTTTATGTACCATTTTTAGTGGATAATATTATTCTTAATGAACGTGATCAAATTATTGTCGCTGGTCATCCGAATGCATTATTTTATGTTTTGCATGCAAACAATCGTCAACAACATCGTGCTCCTTCAGAAGTTGTAATCTTTCTTGATCCAAGATCAAGTAAAACTTATTTCTTTCTATGTATTAAATAATACATTTTCTATAATCATAGATTCAACATTTGAAAATCTTTTACTTACAAATGGTGAATTATTATCAGCATCAACTGTTGGTGGTACATATAAACAAAAACTTCTTGTTGGTGGTTTTGCTGATCCTGGAATTTTATTATGTCAAGATTTAATGTGAAGAACTAAATTAATATTATTTTTGACTATTAATAATATAATATCATCGAATCGAGCTCTGATGAAATAATTAGATAGGATATAAATATAGTTTTTAGATCTTTTTTTTTATTTTTTTAACTAGAGCACAAATATATAAACCAGCTTTTTAATAATCATCAAGTATCTGTAATAAGATGTTTAATGAAAGCATATCATCAATTCAATTTTATGAGTATTGAGTTTAATTTGATAAATTATTGAATAAAATTAATGATATCATTCGACAAACTACACTTGAATAAATCTGCTGGAGTGAAAGTTTTCCATTTCTATGAATGAATACAAATCCACAACTGTTGCTCTCATGACTTTTTCTTTCCTACGGCTCTTAGAAATACGAATGGTGGAGCCAGGGAAAGCAGAGGGGATTCACTGTCTCTATGGATCTCTCAGCGGGGGAGCTTAGCTTCTCTCCACTAGCCCAAAATTCTGGCTTCGCCACTGAGAATTACAAACAATCAATAAATTACTGACTTTGCTCTCATCATCAGCCTCCCAATATCACGAGAGCATCTATGTGAGGTGCAACATTCGTGTTACCAATGAATACTACTGTTAGTATATCCAAGTTTCTATTTGATCCGATGAAATGGACACATCATAGATGTTTTTCTTTTGTAAAATGGAACAATATGAAAATTATCAATATAAATCAATTTATACAATGAAAATTTAATAATTTAATTCAATTAATAATAATGAATTTTCTTAATTGAATACTGACTTAATAAAATAAAATGAATACCTATTCATTGAAATATTGATATGTTATGTATTAGAGCAATAGTAAATTTTCAGTTTGAAACTTTTGATAATAATTTATTGCTGAGTTTTTTGGATTAGTCAAATCATCCTATATATATATATATTAATAAAAAAAGACTTCTGTGTTGAATAAAAACAATGTTTTATGTACAGACATATTCTTTGTGTTTTTTACTATCGCCTCATAAACGAATATCTTTTTTTCTATGTTGAATGACTCAAATACAGATAGTAGATGTTTTAATAGAAAAATGAAGTCCTTTACATAATATGAAAAATCACTTTTTTTTCTCGATTTCAATAATAAAGACCATACGAAAAATATGATATGAGTATGATGAAATGCTTAATTTATTTTATTGTTCTATCAATTAAATAATCTATATTAAAATATCAATGTTTAATTTTTAGCCAATATTTGAAAATTTATTCTTTTCTTCTTTTTTTTTTGTTTGCTATTTTGATATAAATGATAACGACACTATCACAAAGTATCTTTACATAGAATGTAAGATAACAATATGTGTTACTAATATGTTTACCTTGAAATTTTATTTTTAAGTAAACCAATTTGATGTGATGCCTCCTCAAACAAAGTACGCTGTACCTCCTCTTGAAGTAACAGGCTTTCGTATTTTTGTACGTACTTCATATGCAGCAAGGTACAATTTTGCTGTTGCCAATTATAATGCTGTATCTGTTATACAAAAATCAACTATGTTTGGTAATCGTTTATTTTTATTTCGATCTATTGTAGCTGTTGTTTGGATTATATCAATGGCTTTTGCAATTCTTACTCTACTTTTGGCTGGATTAGTCGCTGTTACTATTATTTTGAGTTTGATATATATTGCAATATCAATTTATAACATATATGTATTTATTCAAAATGGTAATCTTCTTCGTTCAGCACGTCTTTTACGAGCTAAAGTTGCTGGACCAAGTGGTCATGATTATGAATGGGTATCTGTACCACTTGATTCACGTAGTGCAAATGAAAGATTAGCTTCTGTTGAACAAGCATCACTTGATAATGTACGAAGAGAATTCGGAGGAAATAATAACAGTGAAATCGATTGTATGGTATATACAAAACGTTATGCTGATTCATATCCATCGTTTCCTAAAGAACTTCTTTTACATTTAATTGCATTTATATTAGCGATTATTGTTGGTATTACAATAGTTGTAGTTAAAAGAAAATATCTATAATTTATTTTTATTTTTTTTGGCATTATTTAAATAAAAGTATATAAACTATACAATGAAATTGTAAGTTCATGATTAGATGAGAGAATAAAGGCGAAGAATATTTATGGCACAAGAAAATATAAAATAAATTTAAATATTATAAACAATAATACTGGAAATATTAAAATGTATAAGGAAATCGACAAACTGAACAATTATTACGTCCATTTTCATTATAGTTATTTTGTGTTTTACAACCAATACATATATAAGTACGAGGTTGAGAATTCATACTACTTGATCGATTTTGTTTAGTAGATGAATGATAATTGTTTGAGTATGGTCCAAATTTAGATGATGATTTATTTGAATTGAATTGTTGATGAGACACAGGCATTGAACTATTTGATTCTGAGAAAAAAAAGACAAATAATTTGTTATTATATTATTAAATGAAAACTTTTACGTTGATTAGAAGAACTATACAATGTGGAATTTGTTGGAACATATGTTGCTTTTGTAGTTGTTCGATTTGCATTAGTAGGTACAACAACTAACAATGAATCCCATTGAATATTTTTTGTATTAGATGTATCAATTCGAATTTGTTCATTAAATCGTTGAACTATATCATTAAGTTTAGTTAATTGTTGTTTTATTCGATCAAGATCACCTTCAACATATCCATTAGTTTTTTGTCTTTGTTGTAAATCTTGTGAAACTCGATCAAGTTCAATACGAACATTTTTACTTGATTCTGATAAGAATTGTCGAACATGATCTCGTGCTGTTGATGCAATACGATCGATATTTGTATGCATTTCATTTTGCCATCGATTAATTTCTTCCAAACAAGGACTTCTATTCGTTGTATTATTTGATGAAGAAGAATTAGTAATAATTTCAAAAAGTTCATTTCGACGATTAAAAAGTTCATCAAGTTCAACCGATAATTCATTACGATGTTGAGATAAACATGCTGAACAATATTTTTGTTGACAACCTTCACATGATGTTATACTTGGTTGATTTTTACATATAGCACAAATTGATGATCTACCGTATGGCATTATCTAGAAATATTAAAAAAAAATGAATTATTAATAATATAAAAAACTATTCTATTAAAAAAACAATCACAAAAAAAACATAACTTTATTGGGGGATTCATTTTAAATAGAATTCAATTTATGTTGTTTGCACTTCTTGTTATTCTTGGTTTTTTTTTACTACGGTGAATCATATTGTTGACTTTATGCATCGGATGCTTGGGGAAGTAATTGATCATGATTGATTGTCGTAAATGTTATAGAATTCATTAGTGCATCACTCGATAATGAATTTCGTTGAATATTATCGGACAATGAATTAACATATGGATTTCGTTTAGAAGTTGAATAAGTCGATGTATCACAAGTAAGTATGATTGGTTCACAAAGTGACAATGTATTACGTTTAAAATTTGATTGTTGAATTTTGAAATCATTATTTGTATGTTTATTTTTTATGAATTTTCGTAAATTCTTCCAAATTTTCTCTTGAGTGCTTTCTTCTTCAGAATGAAATTCTGAATAATTGAAACGATTTTCTATGAATTTTTTTGCTATGAATTTTTTATCTGTTGTTATATTTATTAAAGAATTCCAATCGATTTTATTTGTACCTGTATAATTAATTCGAATTTTTTCATTAATATTTTTAATAGAATTATTTAATTGTTCTAATTGATTTCGTATTTCAATAATATCATTATCTAAATAATTTCCTTCTTGTTGACGTTGTTGCATATCAAAATTAAGTTGATCAAATCGTTGACGAATATCAGATATATTCTTTGTCATTATATCATTAACTGTTGTTCGAGCTTTTTCAGCAATTTGTTGTATACGATTGATAACTTCTTGTTCCCATTGATCGATTTCATGCAAACAAGAAAGTTCTTTTTTGTTTTGCCAATTTGATTCAACAATATAAAATGATTCTTTTAATTCATTTTGAACTCCAAATAATAATTCGAATTGTATTATAAGTTCTTTATGATGTGCATTCATACATGGGAGACAAAATAATTGTTGACATCCTTCACAACGTGTATTACTTTTTCGTTCGTTACACCATGGTAGTATTCATATAAGATGAGATGTGTTAAGAACCTTTTTATCTTAATATAAAATACAAAAAACAAAACGACGTCCTACAACAATGACTATGAAATGCATTTCATTTTTTCTATGAGTCAATGTAATAAATTATCTGAAACATAAAAAACGAAAAGAAAAATGATAATCATTTAGTGTCGTCATAGTAATATGCGCAATATGCATATATACTGATGAATGTTTAAGAATATTTTTGATACTGTTTTTTTGCTAGTATCTTAGTTCTAAAAATGAAACAATTCAATACATCATTTGCAGTTAATTTTCTACATAGATGTATGATATGTTTCTAAAACATCTGATGCAATTATATGAAAGACTTTATTTGCTAATTCGTAAAGTAGATTTATCAAAGATAATTGAGAGAACGGATTCCTCAAATGATAATAACTCTCTCTACTTTTTCTCAAGGTCATATAAATATGAAATGAAGTTTTGACAAATTCAATAAGAAAGAAACATAAAGAGGGGTTCACGAAAAATTAAACTTATCTCGTTTTACTTTTATTTTTTTCAAGATATTATAGCTTTCATATTTTTCATCCATCAATCCTTTTTGTCCCTTCAAGGCGTAGAGTGTGGACATGAGTATGCGTAGGTGAGATTGAATAGAAGACACACACACTCACTCACACACTAATAAAGTTAAAGGAAGTAAAAAAGGCTCAAATATTTTTCCAGCTTTATAAAGTGTGTCAGTATAAAAAGTAAAATCAAATGAATTTGATTGCTTGTCGGTCTGTGCAATGATCGGTAAGTCGTACACAGATAGATAGATGGAAGACAGAAGAATCCTACGTTAGCTGCAAAGAGTACTATGTTCTCATTTTTCATATATGAAAAATATCTGATGGTTCAGCTCAGCATATATATTATATTTATGCTCATTTAGTAATAATGAAATAAACACAAAAACGAAAACGAAGATAGATGTCACTGCAAAAAGACATATTTTTAGAGATAGTTGTTCATAGAGTTCTCGAATGATATTCAAGAGACAATAAAAGACGTGGTAGTCAAGATATTTCTTTTTCCAGTCTGAGGGGGCAAAATCTAGGGTTATAGAAAAAGTGACCTACCTGTTGTGAACAATGAAACATCAGGAAGAAATTCTATTTAAGCAAATTCAGCGTGTTGACATTTTCTAATGCGCGTCAAACTGTGGAAATTTTCTGAAAAAAAAATCACAATTTTTTAAAATTCGATATCACTCCGAAACGATCAATTTTATCCGAAAAAAAGATCAGTAAAACCACTGATTTTTATCATATGGAAAATAAGATAAATGAAACTGAAAGAATGATTTTATACATTGAAGTACTAAAAGAAATGTAAAAAAAATAGTAAAAGACCTTCGTAGATACTACTAACATTTTTTTAATTTTGCAGTCGAACCTCCACCCTATTTTCATGTGTAGAATACAGACAGCAAACAATTTTCGAACTTCCAGTCCGATGTAATGATGTCGCCGTTGTTGTCTGTCCAAGGTCGAGTAATACAATATACTGTGAAATAATCATGAAAAAAGCAATGACATATAATCGATATACTAGAATCATTCAGTAACGAGAAAATATCTAAGTTCGAGAAACTTTAGTAATTTCATTATATGTACGACATACATCGGTGAAAACCAACAATGTCTGATGAATTTATATTGGTTAAATCTTATTATCTTGAAGTAACTATTGATGAAGAGTTATAATATTTATCAATACTAATTTCGTACTCTCTTTCATAACTTTATCATAAGTTTGTATTAATTTTGATATTGTAAAATCTATGTAGATTTTTTTCTTCTTGACATGATCAATTTTGTTTTTCTACTCATTTCCAAATAACATTCAATTCAATTAATATGATAATCCATGTAGTTCCGTTCATATGAATCTAATTCAATAAGCAATAGAGAAATATTCAATTCATCAATAAATCATAACCATATTCTTTTCGGGTATTTCATTGATATGTATTCAAAATTTTGAAGCAATTTGTCAAATACATTAAAATAATCTCATTTTCTCTATTGATCAATTTCAACTAAGAATCAGAGTTAGAGCCTATCGAGTCCAAGGTATTTTCGGACTCGGACTCGGTCGATCAAAATTTTGGATTCAAATCTAACTGATTAATCTTTCAACTTAATATAATCATATCAAATCATTTTCTTCATTCATTTTTAAGTCTTTATTCAAAACAAAATCCTCTGTATCTGTTTTTTATTCTCATAGAAGTTAACAAAAATAAATTATAACATTCTTCACAATATCTAGTTCAATTCTATTTTATATACATTGCATAACAAAGATTTAATCTAAGTTTTAAACCAAATATTCCATGATTATTTTAATATATTCGAAATTTTTTCTTTATATACCATCGATCAAAATAAAATATACAAAACTAAGTACAGTATTATGATCAACAGAAACACTACAAACAAAAGACAAATTAAAAAAATAAAGAAAAAAAAAACAATAATATGCTTTTATTGTGTTCGTCATTGGGCTCGTTATAAACATAAAATACTTTTACCAAAAAGAAAAATAAAACTAAATGAATATACAGAATAAAAAGAAAACGAATTACTTTATAGATCAATTCGATCTATATGTAACATTATCACATAAAAAACACATTCGAGATAACAACAATATGACTGTTCTTGTATTGTTATTTGTTTTTAGATTAATTCGATCATTATTATTAACGTGGAATATTTAGCGTAGCTTTACATATTGAACAACAATTATTCGTTCCATTTTTAATATCATTTAATAGATTTAGACTGCGACAATGTTGACAATTTATTCTCAGTGGACCTTTTATTCTAGGCGACGATGATAATGGAGTAATAAAATCAGAGTTTTTATATAATGTTTGATAAATATTTATTGGTGAAGATCGTATAGTAACAATATGACGTGGAAGAGAAGGTTTTTTATTATAATCACAGTCAGAACATAAACCAGTTGATAATAAATCATTAAAATTACGTCTACAAACAATACATGGACGAATTTTATCTGTTTTTTGCTCGAAATCGATCAAATTTGTTGGTGATGAGGTTTGTTTTACAACATTGACAGGAATTCGAATAAGAGTTTGATATTGTTGTTCTAAAAATATTATACAAAATAATTCAAGAATATAATATAATATTAACTATTTGTTTAGTAAAGTGACAAACTATAAAAGCTTTTTCATTGATTCTCTATCATCTATTGCATTTTTAGAAGCAAACCAAAGATAAAGAGAAAAAGAAGAGTGAATTTAAATATAATCAAATGCAAAAATTTCAAAAGAACACACGCACAATCAATATCTCACTTTTATCTCCTGAATATTTATAAAATACAACATATCGAACTTCGACTATTCGAGTCTATAAAAAGATGAATTAAATATTATTCTACTCATTATAAATTATTACTTAAATTATTATCACAGTTCTATCTAGTTCTTATTAGAAAAATTTATATGTGTGCGTGTGTGCGAAAGCATGATTTTAATAAAAGCTAAAGACGAGCAGTAGCAATAGCAGATATTTAATATATGCTACAAAATAAAATATTTAAAAAAAAATCTAGCAAGGAAGTATTCAAATAAATAATAATCATATAATAGGAAAAAAAATCAATGCTATGACGGACTCTTACATCAATCATCCACACCTCTGGATCGTATACACGCCAGAGCCACTAGAATAACAGAAAATGTTTTTCTAGTCACATTTAATGTAAAGATTTGGAAATAATCATTGAAGTTAGAAAAAAAAAATAAACAAAACAAAAGTCAATAAAAATATATAATTAATAGATTTTGTTGAGCCAAACAACACACACGCACACAATAAGAACAATAGCCAATAATAATAAAACTTTTTTCCTTTTTGAATATTTACAAAAATAAATGAAAATTTACCTTGTTTCAATTTTGAATCATTTCCTCGTGGATTATTATTACTATTGCTTATATTTTTACCATTAGATATCAAATCATCACCATTCAATTCCCATTCACTTTTAGGTTGTAATTGTTTTCCATTAATATAATGATTATCATGAATTACTGGACTACGTTGCATTATTTGTACGTGATTTTGTGGTTTTTGTAATTGTTGTTGCTGTTGTTGTTGTTGTTGTTGTTCTGAATATTGATTAATAGAACGATTACTATCATTCGATAATACATATGTTGTTCCATTAGCTACAGCTTGATCATATGATGATCGTCGTTCATAACTAGGAGTAGTTTTATAATCATATAATCTAGTTGATATTGATGAATATGGTGGTGGTGGTGTAGATGAATTATCTCTATTCATTAATGCTCGTTGAGCAGTATCATATGATGATTGATTAGAAAAAGAATATTCTTGTTCATGTCTTCGTTTTTCTTCTTCTTCTTGTATTTTTTTCTTTTGCATATCAAAAAAATCCATTATATATTTACAATAAAGAAGAAAAAAATTATCTTTCTCTGGAAATGTTTTATTACCTAATTCAACACATAGAATATATAATGGTGTACCATTTGTATCAGGATAATAAGATAATTTTTTAATACGTAAATAATTTTGAAGTAATTTATAATTTTGTTCAAAACTATTATCACTACCTAAAAATCGTATTGGTAATAAAGTTTGACTTCGTGCATGTTCAAGTGATTGATAAAGTGGAAGAAAATTATCAGATTTTGATCCTGTATTTAAATCATTTGTTTGTAATGGACAAAAATGTGATTGATCATATGCTAATACAATTGGTATAGGAACACAATCTTTTAGTTTTGAAAGTATAGGTAAATAAATACCAAATAAATCATTATATGATATAGCTTCACCATGTTTATTTCGTACAACATCTTCAGATAAAACAATAATTGGTCGTGCAAGCATATTTGATATAGAAAAAATATGTACAGCTTCAAGAAATTGTAAATTTGATGCTGTTTGTCCATCATCTGAACTTTCATATCGAACAAGTTCACATAATTCTTCCCATTCCTTATAAAAATAATCATAATAATCAATAACGTTTTTTTAGTTCTTTTTTTTTTTTTTTTGTTAATTTAAACTTACAGTATCAAGTTTGGAATCTTCAGATTGTATACCATACATTTTATCAGTTTTTAATCGTTCAGTTTTCCAACTTTCTTTAAGTACAGCTTTATTTTTATCCATAAATTGAAGAAGTCGATCACGTAAATATAAATTAAAATCATGTACACCAACCATAGCAATAAGTACAGCATGAAGAAGACAATTACCATTGCCTGATGTTCGAACTGGATAGAGTTTTTTTAATGATGGCATCCAATTAATAACTCGAGTTTCATTCATCATTTTCAACATTGTACGATCAATTAAATATCGTTGATAATCCGCCATAGAATCTTGTGCAAAGAATTCATGTGGTAAAACACTTGTAAATTGTGTTAGTTCTGAAAGATGTTCAACAAGAATTTGATTGATAACATTTAATATTTGATCTGTTTGTTGTTTATATCTTTCTGGAATAGGTAAAACTTCTTTATTTGTTGGTGATGATGCTGATTTAGCTTTTGGGCCACAACAATAATTTTGAAAGGAATTAAAATAATAAGGATGTACTGTATCAAGAGGTTTTGCAGTACGAGTTAATGTTCCTGATACACTTGTTGTTTCTGTCATTATAAAAGAAATAATCGAATGAACAAAAATAACTTATATTACATTAAAAATTATATATCATATGTGAGACACATAAATAGTATGCGTAGTATTAAATATATCTAAAAATGCAAGACATGATTCATGTAAATATTGTCAAAAATAGATAGAAATAAATAAAGAAGAGAATAAAATGATCACCAGTTGTAGGTGTATTACTGACATCGAAGAATGAGATGAATATAACTTCGATGTTTTTTATTTTTTATTTTTATGTTTTGTAAGACATGAGTCATAAAATGATGTGACGGAAAAAGAATTGTACAGATCAATGATTCAAAGATTTTTATGATCATTAAAATGACGTTTATTCATTTTTCATTTACTCGTAACTATATAAGATTTCATACTGACATGACAATGAAAGAAAAGATAAAAAAAGAAAGAACCATTATATATTTCTACGCATAAAAAAAAAAAATAAACGCCATTAAATAAAAAAAAAGAAAAATCAGTAAGTATATTTCTATACGAAAAAGAAAATTTTTCATCATTCATCAATTGTGAAAATGTTAAAAGCAACATAATTATAAATAGAAAAATTAATGTGGACCTTTTTCTTCTTTCAACATAGAAAAAAAAACACTCCTTAATGTTCTTCCGTTCTATTTTTTCCTCTCCAACAAAGTAGAAAGAAAAAAACAACAACAACAATAATAACAGTAACATCGATTCTTTTTTTCTTTTTTTCTTTCTTTCTATCTTTCCTTCTCACAGGCAAAGAACAAGATCCCATTGACAGACATGAAGCATGTTTTATTCTTTACCATTTTTTTTTCACCCTATCAAAAATGTTATTATTGATCGTATTTGTCAGTGCACTCATATATCCCACTGACAGTTTAAAAATAGTTCCACCTGCTACCATTATCCAGTCTCAAACACCTACTGGCATCTCAATAGAACATATTCTAAATAATGATGGTATGTGAGCTACTATTTTTGATATGATAGTTTCGTTTGTTTTTTTTTTCTTTGTAGAACAATCAGTTGCTATAGAAGGACAATTTATAATAGCTGAAGGCAACTCAGATCATTTATTTCGTTCGTATGATTTTATAAAAGAGGATATTGTTCAAATTAACAAAGGTGACACTGAGAATACGAAAAATGATGCAAAAATTAGGTAATAGCTTTCATTCTCGATTAATCCATGTTCGAAACACATTACTTTAGATGTTCATGTAATACGATAAATCCACATTTACCACGTGTTCAAATAGTCGAAGGTCATTTTATTCATTATGAAAATGATTCTGATGAACATTTATTTGATAAAGAAGATTTTGAAAAAATACAATTCTAACTCAGCTTGATATACTCATTTGTACTTTATGTCAGATAGAAATAACTTACACATACGATTTTCTTTTTTTTTTTTATTCACATATTAAATAGTATTTTCTTTCTTTTTTGGTTTATGTAAAGAATAAAAATTATTCAAGCGAAACGCATAAGAAAAATATATGTGTAAAAACCTCTGTGAATTTCTCTCGTCTATTATTATGATATTTCTTTCAGTAAAAATATTTTATCATTATTAAGAAAAACATGAAAATTTATGTAAAAAAAATAATAATTATTAATAAATTCTTAACAAGATTATTCAACACCGACAAAAAAAAAACTAAACAAAACAGCTAAACAAACAAACTTGAACATACAACATTTTTATAATAGATTATACAAAAAAAATATTGACTAAATAAATAATCGCAAAGAAAAAAAAACAAAGAATAATTTAAATATTACTGTGTTCTCGAAAAATTAAATGAAATTTTTTTTTAAACACAAATAAAAGATTTTGTTTATTTTTTATATAAATAAGAAATTACTTCTTTGTAATTAACTGTTTTTTATACGAATATACTGTATAGAATATTTGAATTAAAGTATACATAGAAAAAATACACACATCTTATCATTCTTATGTATATTCTCTTCAAAAACAAATAAGATAAAAATTTCTTTTACGTGATAATTATATTGTGATATCTTCTATTCACACGAACAAACTTCAGACAATCTTATTAATTTTTAAAAAGCATTCTTTTTTTAGAATTTGATAGAAATTAAATTAGCTAACCAAACAACATATCCAACTGTGTTGTCTTTAAGAAAAACGACGAAATAGTAAATAAAGGAAAAGACGACGGTTGAATAACTATCATGATAAATATATTTTATTTATTTTTTTTTGTTTTATAGTTATATTTCCAAACCAATATGCATTAAACAGGATTATCAATCTGAAATAAAGTCAAGAAAAATTATTCTTTATCAGTAAAGCATTTAATGATAAACTCTATCATATCAAAGTCATATTGACTTTTCTAACTATTTTATTCTCACAAGAAAAAAAAAACCATACTTTATTTGATGACTTATTAACTATTAATTTTCTTTAAAATATTAAATTTTTTATTGAAAATATTTTTCCACATTGTTTATATTAAAGAATCTACAATTCTTGGAACATATTTTTCTTTATGATTTTGATTAACAGATAAGCAATTTCTATATTTACTTTTTAAAATCAATATATTTTTCATATTGATCATCTAAATTTTATTTTAATATGATTACATCATCTTCATTTTGAAATATTTTTGTTTTGTATATCAGTAAAAATAACGAAAAAAATAAACCTTAGGAAAAAAAACAAAGAATTTCTATTAGAACAATAAAAATAATTTTTTTTTTGAACATACATTAAATAGTATTTAATTCATTATGTTTTAATATTAAAAATATGTTGCCTATAAGTGATATTTTGTTATTTAAAACGACGTATTTCTAATGAATTATCATGATCATTTTTCTACACTAAATACAATTACTTTTTCTACTTTTTTCAGCTCCATTGAAGCAAAATTAAAGTATTTAATTAAATTTTTTTGCGATGTAAAAAAAAAAACCTAAGTCAACAATGTTATCATTTAAATCTAGAAAATGTTTTTTTAATTTGTTTCTTTTCGAAAATTGTTAAAAGTTATTCTAAACAAATTGACTTCTAATTAATTTTTATTGAATATTTTTTGTTTTACCTTTGAATATTGAAATTTCAATATTTAATGATTTGTATTTCTTTTTTCTTTTTCAAGGACAAATCAATTAGAGAAATCGTTCATATTCATGTGAGGAAGTTCATTGCCGAGTGAAAACCTTTACACATAATTTTACTTGAAACATATATATAGGCATGGTTTATTATTATTAAATAAATAAGAGAAAAAAAATCATTTAAGACACAAAAAAAGATATAAAAACAAACTCGAAAGATGTCCGTACTGTTCAACAAAATTCATCATTCTGAATAATGTAAATGCTTGGTTAATTGAGTTTTCTTTTTATCTTCAGATGAGATACTTGCTATTTTGGTTGGTGAAGATGGCATAGATTTTAATGATGTTCTTATTGTCGGCATTGAACTTTTGTTATCAACACTTGAAGATATACTTCTTGATGTTAAAATCGGAAATGTTTTTACTGAAGTATTTAACTAAAAAGAAATAAAACAATAGATATGTACACAGTTGTTAAAAACAAAAAGACAATCTTTTTTTATTCTTACTTTTGGTGTTAATTTTGGGAACATTGGTTGTTTATCTTGTTTCTTAGTACTATTTTCTAATGCTAGATTAAGAATAGGTGTCGTTTGTGAATGTGGTATTTGATAATTAATCACATTAAAACAATGTGTATCATTTGAAATTGAACGATAAAGTTGTTTTTCACCATCTTTTGAAGTAAATAAAGGTATAATAATTGAATCATTGCGATTCGTATAATCATTTTCAAATGTCATATTGATTTCTCTTAATTTTTTTGTTTTCGTTGATGTATTACTATGTTGACATGTTGATCTATCTTGTAAATAACTACGTACAATATCTTTATTGTCAGTCATATTTTTTTTTTCAAAAAGTAATATCAAACTTTTCTCGACTGATGAAATGTAATGAAAAAAAAAAGAGAAAGAAAGAAAAGAAGTGTCCTTAAAAATATTCATCATTTAAAAAGCTCATTTTTTTTATTAATAGTAGTAACTGCAAGTTGACAGTTCCCATAGGTTATCAATTATTTGTTTGCAGAGATCTGTCATGGTTTTGACAAATAAAAAAAAAAAAGAATAAAGCATCATGGTCTTGTCATATTATATATTTTTGCTTATCCTATGAGTTTATAAATAAACGAATTGACAAACAACTAATCGGAAGATTACACAAATACAAAAAAAAAAGAAGAACAAAATAGGTTTCCATTGATCAAACAAATCATAATATTGACTAACATATAGAAATTGTTGTTCATTCTATTCAAGATCTAATTCAGGCACACCTGCAGATAATGAAGACGGATTATGGACGGACTAAAAAGAAAAAAATTTTTTATTTTCTTTTTTTTTTTTTGCAAGAAAAATTTTCAAAGTATACTTGGGCAATTCTTGGTAAACGGTTGATTAGTTCTTGAAATATTTCAGATGGTAGTGTTTGTTGAAAGAAGACTATTAAATTTTGAGGTTGACTACAGACAAGAATAGCTTTTGCTAGGTGTTCAATACCATTATCAAAATCACCTATTAAAATCTTTGATAAATAAGAAAACAGAAAAAAAATGATACTTACCACGAGATAAACAATCTTCACCATATTGAATTTGTTCAAGAAAATATTGACGCATTGATTCAGGATTACTCATATTAATCTAATAAAAACAAAAAATCATCGAATAATATTAAAAATAAAAATTGAAATAAAACTTTCTTACATTATTACGTGAATTTCCAGAACTTAATTTTTGTTTTTGTCGTTCTAAATGAATAATAATTGAAAATTTACAAAACAAAAGACTTTACACATTCGAAATAAAATATTTTTTTTCTCGTAAGATACTAACTAGCTTTTAATTTTTCAATAAAATCAGGTGCATTTCGTCGTTTTCGATCAAAATACATACAGTAACCAACAAAACTAACACCAAGACCAACAGCTGCTACTAAAGGCCAAAATGTTTTACTACTAGTGGTCATCTAAAATAATTTAAAAGGTACTTTTTACTTAAAATTTCAAGGTATTACTCAATATATGCCCACGTCATCAAGTGTATTCAATAGAAAGAGAACAATACAGTAATCATTGTGTCCACGTGGACACTTCCACGTTGGATGGTTTCTTTTCAACTATATATATATATATTAGTTGTGAATTTATATGAAGAAACAAAAAACATTTCTTTTTTTTTTCAAAAATAATGGGTCTTCTTATTAGTCGATTATATGATGCATTATCCTCATTTTCTTATGAGACACCTTCTCGTGTTCTTATGCTTGGTCTTGATGGAGCTGGAAAAACAACTATTTTATATAAAGTAAAACTTAATGAAACTGTTCAAACAATTCCAACAATTGGTAAATAATAATATTTTAATATTAATAAATAATGTCTTTATTTATATTCTAGGATTCAATGTTGAAACAGTAACACCTGCACCTGGTATTACATTTACCGTATGGGATATAGGTGGACAAGATAAAATTCGTCCATTATATAGACATTATTTTGATAAATCAGATGGCCTTATTTTTGTTGTTGATTCAACAGATCGAGAACGTTTTCGCGAAGCACGCGACGAACTTTTTGGTATTATTACACATGACAATATGTGTTCAGTACCCGTTGTTATTATAGCTAATAAATCAGATTTACCAACAGCTGTAAAACCAAGTGAACTTATTGAACAACTTAACCTTCATTCAATTTCAAGACGGCGATGGTTTATTCAATCAGCTTGCGCTATTACTGGTGATGGTATTGTTGGAGCAATGCAACAATTAGCACAAATGATAAAAGACAATAGAAAAAACTAACTTATAACTAAAGTTTGATTTAAATCTCTTCTTGTTTTTTGTTTGTTTTGTACATAAAAATATTTTATATAATAAACTACAATCTATGTTTCTATAAAAGATATATCAAACAACGTTTTCTTGCAATTCAAATATAAATTTTAAAAAAATGTCTAGCAAATACTTATTAAAATAAGTGTACACTTCCGTACAAACATAGAGCAATACGAACTCTTTATTCGGAAGAAAAAAAAATATCATAATTATATCGGGAGATTTATTCAATAATTTGTTTTTTTACTTTACAAACTTTGATTTAAAGTTTTATCTAAATAGTGTTTGCTTTTTAAAAGAATCATAATGGTTGTATCACAGACATTTGAAATACATCATCATTTTATCGCATCGTTCTCTCATTTCATTCTTTTATCATATTCATGCAAGAAATCGTTTTCTTTTTTTTTTTTAAAATAAAATGTTTTTTTTCTCTTTTCTTCTTTACGTTATTTCAACATAGTAATAATCATGGATGAATCATAACTCTACGACACGTTGGCCAGGTGAGGGAATCCGCACAGTCTCTTTTGCAGTAAGCTGAATCATAAAAAAATATATTTGTCTGTTCACAGCGATGTTGACGTGTCTTATACGACGTGGCAATGGCTAAAAAAACTCGTTAAATAGCGATGGTTCATCAGTTATTTTTTCGAAAACAACTTTCATCTATTTGATACTTCAAAAATTATACGACAATGGGTCTTTTTCTCAGTCGAATGTATGATGTTCTCGCTTCGTTTGGTACAGAAAAACCATCACGAATTTTAATGCTTGGTCTTGATGCAGCTGGTAAAACAACAATTCTATACAAAGTTAAACTTAATGAAAATCTTCAAACTATTCCTACAATCGGTATGCAATTTACACACATATATGTATATCTATATATCACGTATTTATTATAGGTTTTAATGTTGAACAAGTGAGTCCATGTCGTGGTGTTTCATTTACTGTATGGGATGTATGTATTTTACAAAAGCCAAATTTTACATTCAATTCTAATCTTAAATTATCTTTTTATTTTTGTTTTCTTAATCAGGTTGGTGGTCAAGAAAAAATTCGTCGTCTATGGCAACATTATTATCAAGGTGCAGATGGTCTTGTATTCGTTGTTGATAGTAATGATCAAGAACGAATTGATGAAGCACGAGAAGAACTTCATGGTATTCTTTCATCACCTGATATGTCTCGTCTACCCATAGTTATTATAGCTAATAAACAAGATTTACCAAGTAAGTTCCAATTATGATTATGATTATTATTATGATTATTATATTTTTTTTTAATTTTTCTTACAAATAGATGCAATGAAAACTTCGGATATTATTCAAAAATTAGGTATAAATGAATTACGTGCTAAACATAAATGGTATATTCAACCAGCTTGTGCAGTAACGGGCGAAGGTTTAATTGAAGCAATGCTTGAAATGGCAAATCTTGTTAAACAACATCGAAAAGAAAACGATTAGCGAAAAAAGAAAGGAATTATTTTCTGTACATATTAATATCATTCGAGCTTTTTCTAGATTTTGAATAAAACGAAGACAATATTTTTTTATACTTATATATTGTTTGTTTTTAATCAAAAGCTGACCCAAAAGAAAAAAAAAGAATCGACAATACAATTATACAAAAAAAGAAAAAGAAAACAGTTAATCATATATCTCCTCTAATTGAACAAAAAAAATAAATAAATAAATAAATGAGTATTGTTTTTTTTTCAGATAATCGTAATTAATAATGTCACTGTAGTTTACAAAAAGATAAATTAAATTAGTACGATGTTGTTGATTCATCATTATTATTTGCATTAAATCTTATTGGAAACATTAATGCTTTAGCACTCATAAAACTTAAATTAGGTAAACTATCAATTATACGTTTAGCATCATCATTTAATATTGTTGTTGAACCAGGAAATAGATCCATTGTTTTAATTGGTATTGAATGTGATTGCTGTTGTTGTTGTTGTTGTCGTTGAATAATAGGACTATCAGTTCTTTCAATAGATGGTGAAGATGTTATTTGTTCGTCTTCATTAAAAGATTTTATTGCTGGAACATAAAAATCCAGATCAAGTGTTTTATTTGCATCGAAAACTTTAAAAAGAAAACAAAAAGAATATCATGGTGTTTTTTTTTCAATAGGATCATTTTTTTTTAGCAATATTTGTATTAGTAGTCACATGCAAGAGCATTCATTTATTATTATTATTATTAAAAAGAATTATTAAATTAATTACGTGCACTTAACTTACCATTATCCTCATTCTTACTGATATTCGGAGAATTACATGAATTATCATTATCTAATATATATATATATACATATATGGAAAATCGTTTGTTTTTTTTCTTATGTATCTGTTATTTTTTTCTTTTTTGAATAAAAAAAAAGAATAAATTAAAAATTATTACCTGTAAGTGGATTTTCTAAACCACTTTGTTTCCAATCAAAATGTGGGCGAATTGTTTCAGTTGATAACTAAATTAATCAAAAAAAAAAACATTTAGCACAATCTCTATAGAATGAAAATGTGAAACACGATATAGGTCATATATTCTAATGAGAAGTTGTTAATATACGGCCTTATATCGTATATCAACAAGGTCCGTGATGATCTCTGAGTAGCCTCTGTCATGGTCTGTTATACTTAGAGCTCATCGGGTCCAAAATTTTCGGATCCGGTCCCAGTTTATTGAACTTCTTTGGGATCCGGGCTCGGTTGATTGAAATTTTTCAGACCCGGAACCGGACCCTGGGTTGGTCGAGCCATACTTTGATACTCTCAATGAAGTTTTCTAATCGAAACTGGATAGTCGCTCTGAAGATACGAGATACTTTCTTTTTGGCTTTTTGCATTTGCTGACTAGAATTCAACAGATCCAAAATTTTCAGATTCAAACCTGAACCAACCCGACGGACTCTAGTGATAGTCTCTAACTATCGTCTGTCACAATCTGATTGGTATCCAAATTTCTACCCTTATACTTCAACACTTCTTTTCAATCGTGTTTCACAAAAAACCGGTTTGTTTATTCTATATGATAAATATTTTACTTTATTTTCATTATCAATATTTTCTGATTCGTTATTCGTTGAAGTAGTTTGTTTGACTTTTTCTGGTTGTAAAATTTCTGGTGTTAATGGAACACTTTTTGTCTAAGAAGAAAGTTTTTTTTGTGTATAAATATGATTTATACAAAAAAAAAAAAGAAAACATACACGAAAACGTTCATTAACTCCTAATGCTTGATGAAATAAACGTTCTGTATTAGATTTACGCCATTGAAATTTAATTCCTATTGGATCATTTGATATATTTGATAAAGTATCCCATAAACTTGAAAAATAAATATTAAGATATTATTTAAGAATAATTAAATACTTACGCTAAACTAGATTCAAGACATGATATCTGTTTTGTTGGATTTTTATAAGTAGTAAAAGAAGGCAATTCAGTAGACATTGAACAATCATCATTTGTTGATGATGGTAAAGATTCTACAGGAAAACATGCCGAGATTAAAGATTCAATTTTTTCAGTATTTAAAGTATTCTATATAGAATAAATTAATTTCAATTTAAATAGAAATATAAATAAGTGAACTTACAGTTGATAAAGTAGGTACTTGAGGTTCTTGAGCGACTTGTACTTCACTAAATTCACCGAAATCATCATCTTCTTCTGTTACTTTAGTAGTTGGTTCATCATTTGTTGATTGTATTGGTGATTCAGAGACGACTGGTACTGTATTAGATTCAAAATCAGCCCAATCATTTTCAGTATTTTCTTCTATATTGGTTGATGTTGTCGTAGGAAAAGTCTAATTTAAAAATATATTCTATGAAATATATTTGAAAAGATTTTTATCAAAGTCTATGATTTAGTGTTTCAAACATATCGGATGATCAAAAAAAAAAAATAACTAACGACATTATATTTTATAACTTTGTTCGATTAGAAATAAAATTTGAATTAATACAATGTGCGTTTCATAGTATTTTAGCATAAAATTATTTAAGATTTCATTTTAGTCGCCTATTTGCTGAATAGATTCAATAGCAAAGAATGAATTTTAAAAGCTTTCTACAAAACAACAGCGGGACCGGAACTATCTTGCTTATATCTATTTAGAACACATGAGTCGTGACAACATAACATTCAACGCAAGTTTTACGCAACTATAAAAGGTATCGCGTTCAATGAAAAACTGTTAGTTCTGGTCTTTGTCCCGTACATCTCTAATCGTAGGTCTTTCTGTGGCATTTTTCATTCAGGTGTAAAACAATATTCTTTGCTTACGTGCTGAATAGGGATTTATAAATCGCTTTTTGTATCAAATGTAACTCGAAGTCTAAGATTTTCTTAATATATCTATGAATATAAGAGAAACAAAAAATGTCTAATAAATAATTCACCTCGATAACTTCATCGGTTTTATTTTTAAATGTAGGAAACTTTGCCCAATCATTATCGATTTTTTCTTCTTCTAAATTTTCTTCATTTGTTATATTATTATTCGACAAAATATTTTCATTCTTAAATATTGTTTTATCATCTTGAATTTGAGCGATTTCAGTATCATTATCATTATCTATTGATTTCCAATCATCATTACTATTATTCAATATATCCGATGAAGCCGATGATAATATTTCTTCATGTTGTATAGTTGGAATCAGATCATTTTCATCCACATCATCGTCAAATGGTGGCGGTGACGTATCATGAACAGGAGGTACAATAACAGACTGGCTCATAACATCTATATAGATAGTAGAACTATATATTGATAGATAAAACAATTCAACATACACGCACACACATATGAAAAGAAATAAAATAAAAAAAGATGTTTTTAATATATTTTTTATTTATTTGGTTTAACTCATATACAATGCGACAAGAACAACAAACAAATATGAAAAACGTTAATTTTTTGTAATACTTCTAGAATAAAGAGACAATAATTAATTTTTTCTTAAATAAAATTTATTTATTGAAATACCCAGGAGGAAGTTGAGGATCTCTAGATCGATTAGTACTTAAAATAATATATGGTTGTTGTAATTGAAGTTGTTTTTGTTTTAATAAATTACATGTTTGTAATGGAGTATCAACACTTGACATTTTTTTCATCATCTAAGCAAAAAAAAAAAGATTTGCATGTTTTTTTGTTTATTTTCTTTATTTGAAATTTTTACCTCTTCTTCAACGAGTTTTTTAGCTCGTTTTTCAATCTTCTTTTTACCACTACCTTTACCATGAAAACGATGTGAAAGAAAACGAAATGCTTCTTTTTCATTCATACGTCGACCACCTTCATCAACATATTCAAGTTTAACATCAGGACGATAATGTTCTTTTTCTTTGAAATCAGTTAATGGTCCAGATGTATAACGATCACGTCGAGCATGTTTATCATCAATTTCACTAAAAACAAAAATGAAAGGAAAATATGATTAAATTTAACAATTGATAAAGTCATGTATGGTTTTTAGACATATTTTTGGTTTTTCTTTTATCAAAAATGCAAAGTTTTTCAAAAATTTTGTTAGCATTCAGATATGCTTCGTAGTCGTCATATATTTCCTATATATTATGAAAAAGTAAAGATTCTTTTTAAGTAAAATATATTTCAATCTAATAAAATACATATTGCCATTAGCTTCCACAATAAAACGAATAGCAGCTAATGATAGTATAATATTGATTGACAATGGTAATAATCTAAGTCAAATTATGGATGAAGAATTATCGAAAGCTACACAAAATTTAATTAATATTCAAAAGAGAAGTAAAGATGTATTTGAAAATAACAACATCAAGAACAAAAGACTATAATTGATTCAATGATCAGTCTTGATTGAAAAAGATATACAGTTTTTATGTGTATTAAATGTTAATAATTATAACAGAACAGATAATACAAGTTATCCCAGGGATAAATGCAACATCTATGCTGAAAAGTGCTAATCGGTGGTGTGGTGCTCAGAGTTTTGAAAAATCAGATACAAATTGAAGTTATAGCTAGAGATGAGAGTCATACTATTCAAGACAAAAGTATTTTTCGAAAGTAACAATTTTTTTTTTTATAAAACTTGCCCGGACATTTTTGGAATAGAGAAACCCAAATCTACAGGTGATTTCTCGAAATTCTTGACTAGTTCGATTTTTGTTTTGGTCAGTATAAGCCTATTCTCATGATTTAGTTGAGTTCTATTGAATTCATCTATTGTTTTAAAATAGGCCTCTACTGACCGAAAAAATTGAACTCGAGCATTTCGACAAATCGCCTATAGATTCGCATTCATCAACCTCAAAATCATGCGAGCAAGTTTTATAAAAAATTCATATTGACATTAGTCAACCGTTATTGATAAAATAAACAGAGGTCATCATTTCCTTTCAACTTATTTTTTCGGATTGAACTTTGTTGAATCTCGTTTTTTTTTTGGTAATTGAGATATATATTTGTTCTCAATTTATTTAGCAATTTCTAGTATGACCTGTTTATGGTTTTGAGGGAAGGAGCATTGCAATGTTTGGTAAGTCTTTTAAAAGACTTTTCAAGGAAAAAATTGTCCTATGTATTCCCTATATATTTGAGACAAATCGCTACGAAGTCTGAAAATTATTGTAAAATTTTTCAAGACTTTTTAAGATATATTAGAATTTCAGTTTGATAAGAATATGTTAATAATATTTAAGAAATATTTCATAGATGTACTTGTTTTTTTTCTCAACGGAGGAATATTTATTAATACTTACTAAGAATTTTTTTCTTCAATTGTATAATGTATAGCTGAAATATCACTAACAAAACGAGCATTTTGACGAGTTTTTTCTTGTTCAATATATCCTATATAAATAAAATACAAGATATCAATATATTATATAATAATATCAAAAAACAAAACAAAACAAACCTTTTTGTAGAGCAAGTTGAAGTGCACTACCAAGACCACGATTAAGTGTTGGTTCAGCAGCTAAAATTGATTCTTCAAGACGAAATGGTTTTGTATTAACATCTTCAACTGGTGTATCATCCATAGCATCATCATCAAAATCTTCATTTTGAAGTGCATGTTGTAATAATTCATCATCAGGATCTAATGTTACATTAGTTTTTGATGATGATTTTTTACTTGCTTGAGCATTTACACGTTTGATTTTTGTTGCTGCACGTAATTTTGGTATATTTGATGTTGTATCAATTGTATTTTCACCAACAGTACGACAAAATTCTGACATTGTATCAAGTACAAGGCTTTTATCATCGGGTGGAACTGAACTCGATGGAACAATAATACCAACTTCCATAGGTTCAGATTTAATTTCAACTTTTAGTTTTCGATCACGTTCTTCGATTAATTCACTTAAAGCCTATATTTACAGAAAAAAAAATCGTTTATGACAAATGATATATGTAATAAAACGTTTTTCTTTTCAAGGGTATCAAAAACTTATATTAAAACAGTACGAAATGCTCCTAGTAACTCTCTAATATCTATGCCATCGAAACAAAAATTTTGGGCATTAAAAAAATAAGCACGACTCTTTTCATGTTTTTTCCATTGATAATCAAAAAAAAGAAAAAGAAGTTGGAACACAACTAGAATTAATTCATACCTTTTCAGCTGAAATACTGTCTTTCTTGGTTTTGAGTTTCATTGTTTTATTAATAACAGTTTGAAGTTCATCGAATGCATCATCTTCAATGGGACCATAGGAAAGATCATTATCAGGACCCAAATGATCGTCTAAATAAAGATAATTTTTTTTTTTATAAAAACTTTCAATTTTGATTTCAATTAGAAGATTTTCTAATGTAAATACTCACCATCTTCTGTTGTAGTTGTTGTTATCATTTCTCGTTTGAGTTTATCAAGAGAAACAGTAGTTGGACGTTCTCTATATAAAACAAAAAAGTTTTTTCTAACAATTTCGATAGGAAAATCTTAAAATATACTTTGATGTTGAAACAATAGCAGTAGGTCGACGTGTTTCAGCCCGACGTAAAGATATCGATGTTGATGATTCTCGTGGTTCACTACTATCCATTGCTAGTAGGTCGTCAGCCTTTAGCATTTTCCGTGATCGAATTTTTTTCTTAGTTACCTTTTTTGGTTTTTTGAATTGTTCCTATTGAAAATAAAACAAAAAAATATCCGAATAAATTCTTTTCTTTTGATAAATATCTTATTCTATTTACCATTTCAGTAGTTGTATAATATTCACTAGCTACTTTTGGTGTTGGTACTATTAGACTTTGCATTCGTGCTCGAATTTCTTGTTTCATTTCATCCATGACCTTCTCATTAGACATATCATAGGCACCATCGGATTCTATAATAAAAGAAAAAATTGTATTTTTTTAAATAATTTTTTTTTTGTTAATCTATTTACCAAGTCGAAAAGATGATTTCTTTTTATCATCATATTGTTCAAGTAATTTATTTGGATTCAACTATAAAAAAAAAGAAAAACAAAATATTTTCATAAACAAATTAATTTAAAAATAAACAAACCATTCCAAATTGATCTGCTGTTTCATTATCATTATATGCTCGATAACCAGATGTTTTCTTTTTTGCTAATTCAGCACGTTCTTTTGCTGTTTCATTATCAGCAATATTAACATTAAATAAAACATCTTCATCACCATCATCATCATCATCATCATCATCTTTTTTATCACTTAAAATTTCTATGCAAAAAAAAAATTATTATTATTATTTCAAAGAAAATGATCAATATTACTTTTATCTTTTAATGTTAAAATAACTTGTTGTCCTTCTTTAAATTCTTCAATTGAATGTTCAACACGAAGACCAGCCAAATTTTTTGATGTATATCTCTAAAACAAACAAGGACTATAAAATTTAATTCAAATATTTGGAAGCCGAACAGTTGCTCACAGGTGTGGATGTGGCAGAGTTGTAACTGATTCTGTCTAGTTGATCTTCATATGTTGGAAAATATTTTATAGATATGTCGTTTAGAAAACTTAACAAGAGCAAATTTGTTTACTCTTATAAAAATAATAAACAGTTTTAGTCTTCTAATCAAAGTATATTTTATTTTTTAAAAAGAACAATCAAGATTGTGTTACTTGAGGTAAACTTTTTTTTGGGTAAAAATCAAATTTCGGTTGATCTGAAAAAGCTGACGAGGAATGTTTTCAACTGACTAATCACTTTTGAATTTGAACTCTATACATAAGGTAGACTTCAATGAAGTATAAAAAACCTCGAAAGGATAAGTCTCCTTAGGACTTCTGTTCAGAGTTATGAAAATTTTAGTAGAGTTTTTACCTCGGGCATCGTATATATCAACAAATCGAATACTAGTATTTCGATCTGAGATTTTGCCTACAGACAGATACATTTGTCAGATGATCTAACAAACCGACTGGATCGGTTACAACTCCAGAGTGTAGATCTTTTCTTCATCCACATTCATATGAGTAACTGTCCTAGACCTAAATATTTATTTTAATACTTTTTGTTTTTGTTTTTCTGATTCTTCATGTATTAAATTACTAACACCAAATTCTTCATCCATTTGTTCAAGTAACTTAGCCTTCAAAAAAACAAAAAAATCAATCCAATGAAATTTATTATTTATATTTAATAATACATACACGTTTGGCTGCTTTACGTTTTTCTTCTTCCGTTTGACGCATTTTTTCAACCCATGATATTGCTGATTCAGCTGGTTCAGATGCTAAAGTTGATGTTGCACTATGTAGAAAGAAAAAAAAACTGAAATTAATTCAAAATATTTCGAAATACATACAGAAATTTTTCTTGTAACATTCGTTTTTCTTTATGTACACTAAGTTTTTCTGTAACGTGTTCTGTTCGTTTTTTTTCTGTTAAATTTATTGCTGGTCGATGAACAAAATTTTCATCACTATTTAAACTTTTTTTTGTAGTATCTGAATCTGTTGTTGTATGATCATCAATTGTTAATGGTTTAAGACCAAGTGAAGCACGTAATTTATTTGTTTCATTTATTGATAATGACATACGTTCAGTACCTTCACGTGTAATATTTGATGAATCATTTGTATTTGATTTAGTTGGTGTTGGTGATCGAGATTTATCATCATTCGATGGTGAACGACGTTCACGATCTCGAATTTTTTCAACACGATCATGATCACTTCGATGTTTATCTAAATAGAAATTTAATCAAAATGAATATAATTTAAATTCAATTCATTTAATATACATACGTTGTTTTGAACTTTTTTCTTTTTTCATATTTGAAACCATGATTTTTGATAAGAATTTGTAATCAAATACACTTAAATTTTTCTATTGTTTATGAAGTAAGACCGATAAAAAAAATATTTCATCAGTACCAAAGCCATAGCATAATAACAAGAAGAAAAAAATGCCTCTAGAATAATGGTCCTAATAAATAATTTTACTGAACGTTTACTAGTGACATCTGTTATGAGTAAAGGTTAAGGCGTTCTTACTAGTTTACTGCAAGCAGATACTGGCGATGAGCGGAAATCGCAATTCTCATAGCTTCTTCTGCATACTTTTCTATATATATTAGAAGTCAGTTGACATTTAGACACATGCTTTCTTGACACTCGTTTCTTAGTGATGTTGAAGAATATGATTGTGAGGATGAGAACGATGTTTAAATCGAATCTCAGTGTATAGTTTATTGGTTTTTGATTGCTCGAATAAAATTATCACTATTAACAAGTACAATAGAAATTTAGTCGTTTGCTAATTTCTTAACAGGTTCAGTTTGATCTTGATTGTGTGGTACTCTTATATCCACGATTCGTTTCTTACATGTTATTACAAAAAAAATGGATTAAGTCAAGCGATTCCAATGCCATTAAATTAATTGTCTCTTCGAAATTAACATTCACATCCACACCCAACTTTCCATTTAGACATTGCTCGACAACGAAATGATCTACTTTTCTACTACTTTGAACTGTTTACCTCCTGATAGACCTAAGGGATAAAGATGTACACCGTTCATGCTTTAACATTAAGTATGCCTCTCTATTTTTTACTGATTGCTCTGCATTCATGTCTCTTCTTATATATCCGCCGAGAAGTTGCGCATTTGTCATATCATCTGTTAAACTCTATTGCTAGAACTTTCTAAAATTAGAATATAGATAAAGCGCTGAAAAGTAAGAAAAAGGATTTAATCATTGACAGACACATTCTTAATGAGAGACTGTTCATTTTGAAATTTATTTGTTAAATTTATAAATTAAATCGTAACCAATGTTAATTAAAAATTATCTTAATAGCAAATCTATTTAAAACTTAATAAATTTCATTATGACTATTATAAAATAGATTAAGATTGGAACAAACACCCTATGAATATATATCTATATGTATATCTGATTATATTTTGCTTTAATAAATATTCTTTTGTCGTTTTTTCAACTTTATATTGTTGTTCATACGCGATTCATTATTTTTGTAAGAAATATTGTTGCACCATAAATATGAGAAAAACGTGGGTGAAAAAAAACTTCTCCAGTTATCGTTAGGTACAGTCGCCAAGCGGTTGTGCTGCTTGCTCAAAAGAGGTTTTACGATAAAAAATAAACTTAATTTGTCACTTATGAAAATCAGACAAACTCGTAAATGACAATAATATCGATCAGTCATTATGTAGAATAGAATAAAGCATAGTTTTGTTGTAAGTAGATAGTAGAGAAGTTCATCTTACAAAGTACATTGCTTTGCTAAATGAATCAAAATTAGTACCAGAGGTACTTCAATATCTTATAGAAAGGTTGAGGAAACTTTTCGTTTATATATTGATAGAACAAAAATAGACAGTTGTGAATTTTATTATTAGAAATATGCGAGGAATACGCATCGAAAAATATATTATTGGTTTTTCTAATATGTTTTCTCAATAAGTTTTAATCATTTTTCTAAGACAATGTTCCAAAATGAATTTTTTATCAAAGAGCAATCCAGTGAAAGATATTTCTATAAAAATCAGGATTGGTTTTGATTATCAGTGCATAAATCTCAAATATTCTTTCAATCATTCATTTTTTGCATTGAAATCCGATTAAAATCGATTATAATTCTAAATTCTATTAAAAAACAAATCCAAATCCAGTCAATGGATTTAAAATTGATTATTACAAATTTATCTCGGTTGTAATTTGATTCAAATCAATCGTCAGTTCCTTCAAAGTCTGAACCATGTTTAATTGATTTTTGGAAATAATAAAAAAATGAAACTGACTATTTTCAGAAGTAGAAAGTTCACATGAGATGAGCACAACATATTAGGATAGCAATTATCAAAAGCGCTTTATATATGTAGAAGTCTTATATAGAAAAAACGTCAAATTCATAGTTTTTAGACACGAGGAATCCAAAAAAATCATTAAAAAATTAGGATTCCCCATTCGAATACTGAGAAAAGTGCATATCTTCAGTGTGTATGATTAAAATTGATCAACAGGTAGCATAGAATTAGAACGGATAATTTCCATGTAAAAGAACGGAAAAAAATCTGACTTTAAACGAGTTTTTTCGTCGTTTTTTTGCATGAGAAAGGTATCTATTTAGTTGAATTTCATTTTGTCGTTTACAAATCAGTACAACAATATGAAAAATTGATTAAAATCGAGCTGAAGCCAATTATATGAAAATTTTTACTAACAAAATCGAAATTATAATCGATTATAATCTAAATTATCAATTTGATTATTCTGCACCAAAACCCAAATTCTAATCGATTCTAATCGAAATTATCAATCAATTCGATTTCTATTGATTGATAATTTCGATTAGAATCGATTAGAATTTGGGTTTTGATGCAGAACAATCGGGTTATTAATTTGGATTAGGTCCATAGGGTTTTGTGGTTTTAATCGTTAAAATTTTTCACTGAGAAAAGGCAATAAAGTGATTTTTAAAAGAGGAATTTCTAGAAAAAATGACTTAGAATTTCAAGTCGAATATCGATATAACAGTGAAATGATGAAATCTTAACATCTGAGTTTTGCACGGTTTTTTAGATCTTCAATTGACAGTTTGATTGCATATCTGGTAATTGAAAATTCAGTGTAAATACCTCATTGAATAGGCTTGTTTTCAAAAAAAAAAACTGCAATATACGATTCGATGCATTGTCATCTTCTCTATCTAAAGGTCAAAGTCATGACTCTTTCTATATTAGTTCTATCAAAGCCTATTCAAAATATATCCACCAGCCTTTATTCTTTGAAATTAACTTAAGTATTATCATCACTTTTCATAGCAAACAGCTCTTATCAAAATTTTATTATCATTGTACATAGACAGAATATTTCTTTAACCTTTTGTATACGATTTTTTGAATTAATGATGAACATTTTGAACAATAACTATTTGAAAATATGTTTTAATTGATACAATATAATTATTTGTGTTTTTAATCAACATTGAGTTTCAAGCAAATCTAATTAATTGTAAATTTTTTTTTTTTTGTTGTCAAAGTTTATAAATAGTTCATTGATCGAGAGTACACACATGACATTTCATCAAAACTTAAAGTGATGAGTAAAATTAATAAAATAGAAAGGATGTTAGTAAAATTTTTTCATTTCGTTGATTAAATCTTCATTAGTAAATTAAGAAAAACACTTCTTTTCTTTTGATGATTTATTGACGAACAATGAAAATAAACATCAGCTAAAAAACAATCGGTATCACAGTTTCAATTATAATGTTTTCTCAAAAATATATATGTTTACAATATATTTTAACTCACTCGTTAATCTAGTGTTTAAAATCATACAATAAATTAGTTTTAATCTTTGTTGTATATTGATTTTAATATAACTTATTTACGTAGTATGTATTCTCGAATCTCATATTTGCCTTAGACGTTTCGTAATCACAACTTACTAACCAAAGTAAAACAATTGTAATATGCATAGCTGTAACCAAACTAACTATTGAACTTCTATCTGTACTTGTGTATGTCATGAAGTGTGCATTAGTTATTGAAATGGTCATATATTAATCCATAATCATCTTACAATAAAGGTTTTTATTCATAGGTGATTTAGTACAAGTATGTGTTTTATAATCAGTTAATCTTCCTCAAATTAGCTTATAAGTTTTGTATTTTTCTGTAGAAAATCCTTGAATGGAATATTGACTATATATATGAATAAATCAACAAAACTAAGATATTTTTTGCATTTAAAATGAAGATTGGATAATGGTTCAGATTGCTCAAAAGATTTCTATAGTATTTTTCTTCAGAGGGCAACCAATGAAACTCGTTGACGAAGATTCACAATATTTTGGCTATTTCGTTGTTTTTTTTTTATTATGACAAATGTCAACTTTATTTCTTTTCATTCAATACAATCAGCTAATATATGTCAAAAGAAAAAAATTTAATTCAGAAAATTTTTTTAAATATATGAGGTATGAAATCTCAGCCGTTTTTGTAATTACTTCTAACTCATTTAATAAAATGAAAAACCTTTCGTTCGAAACAATAACTGTGGATCGAAGTACGATACTTTTTCTTTTAACTTTAAGTTATTGAAGTAAGGTCAATATTATATGTTGTTACTACTTTTTAATCAACATTATTTGTTTCAATATTCATAAGTTTCTAGCTCATCGTTGTTTATAAAGTTTTCATCATCGCTTTAGTCTCTTGCTAGTTAAACATTACACAAATTTCATCATTGGAATTTTACAATCAGTCCGATCTTCAACCAATAAAATCTAAAAATCAATTTTGATATAATTTCAAGTATTTTACTCGATTTCTCTAGCCGATTAAAGTCATACATGCAATTGGTATAACTTATTTTGAAGACTATTTATTTTATAAGAAAACAATAATTTAACAAAAAGCCTTTTTCTTCTAGTTAATTTCGTCTTAAAAAAAATCGTTAACGTAAATTCATGGAATGTTGACTTCTAGAAAACTATAGTCTAACACATAGTTGAAGACTCTTATAGATGTTTGCAAAAAAACTTGGAAAAAAAAATTTTTTTTTTTCTTAAAATCTTTTTCTCTACTGTTATAAACAATTACAGAAGCCATTTTTTGAGGAGTAAACTTTCGATAGATATACTAGACGCTATATATATATAGAAGTATGATTTTTCCTCTTCGATACTTCTAGAAGTGAATAAAGAGAATATGAAATTACACTGTTGTATAGTACTCTTCGTGAGCTATCTACCACAATATAAAACAATTCGAAGAGTACTTGTGTAAAAGGTGATATCTATGGAAGAAAGCTTTCAAGTTTTTTTTTGCAAACACCTATAACTTTCTACTAAACTCAAACATGTCATTAATACCATTGAGCCTATGTTTTACTCTAACAAAGTAAGGCTCTATTTTCGATAATATAGTGATATGGTTTCATGCAAAAAAAAAAACTTTTATAATCAAAGATTGACAATAGAGAATAAAATTCTAAACAAAATCATTTATTCAATAATTCTAATGATATAATATTCTTAGAGATAAGATGTTCAATTATTTACTAAAATTCAAAAAGTCATGTAGAATTTTAACTAATATCTTACTTATGATTATTTACTTTATAAATATAATTTGTTTTTTCTATAGTCCTGATTGAAGCCATAAAATTGAATATTAATCTCAATTTTTGAAAGTGTTCATATCATTATTGATCCATATTTTTCTCTTTTTCATATATGATAAATCATATCATGCCCTAGAGAAGTTTTAAAATAATGAGTTTGGAAACTCCTTCAAGGTAATATGTCAATATTACTCTATTAACTGTTAGTCAGATGTTACAATGTTTTTCTTTATTATTAATATATACACATACAGTTACTTTCCTTGATTACTTATCGTTATTTTTTTTTGCTTTTTTTCCGCATTATTATTAAGAGAAAAGATGAGAAAAGAGAAACTCTTTAAATTATTTTTTTTTCTCTGTTCACAAGAAAAATGACATTTTTTGCAGTTTACGCAAAAAAGAAACAAAAACTTTTTTTTAATTTTTGTAAATTATTTCTCAATGAACATTTGTTGACATCAAACACGTTTGTGTAGGAGGAATTATAAGTATTTAAGGAATATATTTTTTTTCAAGACTACAGATTATTGTCAGAATATATCAACAGTAAGTAACATTTGTTTTACTTGAATTACACAGACTATTGATGGGGTTTATGTACTCTATGAATATATACCTATTGTAATCATACATCATCTAGCTGATAATTACTTTTCTATCTATTGGATTAAACTTTCTTTTCAATATTTTTTTTTGTTGTGAAAGTCAATTTTTCTTTTGTAGATTTGCAAAATGTTCTCATCAATTCAATTATTCTCTATTTTATCAATTACACTAGGTAAATTTTATATATATATATATGCATAAAATCTTATTCTATCTAAATATTACATTTAGTTATGCTTTCTATGCATTTTATAAATGGTGTTCCCATAAATTTCGACTCATCCGATGACATAAATGCAGTAATCGGTGATCAAACTAAACTAATTGATGATGAACCAATATTATCAAAGCGAAAATTGCCTGTTGAAGGTATTCTAATTGGTCGACGAGAATTTTCAAATGATGATATTTTACTTGACAAACGTAATTATCCAATCGAAGGAATTCTACTTGGAAAACGTAATTATCCAGCTCAAGGAGTACCTTTACGTGAACATAATATTCGTTTTTTCGCACCGAAACCAATACGTTATAATTGATTCGTAAATTGGTTCTGTTTAACATGAAAAACAAAGCAATAAACAGAAAAAACAATTATCTTTTTTTTTCTAAGTTACTCCTTGTCTTTTTACATTATTCGCATATAATCTTACGTTTGAATAAAATGTGACTTATGAACAATAAAGAAATAAAAGAAAAAATTAATTCAATCCATTTTTTTCTTTTCTTCCTTGATCTTTTATTCACTCATTCAATTATAATAAACAATCGCAGATTTAACAGTGAAAAAAATCAATAAATAAATAAAAGATAGAGTACATTTATACTAATTAAAAATATATATATAATAATTTTATTGTTTGCTTTAGATATAGATATATTCTCAATAGGTTAGTAATAATATGTCTTTTTTTTTATTAATTTCGAATAAAATCAAGATGAAACAAAATCGAATAAAGAAAAAAAGAGGACAAAAAAAGCGTTTGTTTTTTTACAATGAACAATAGAACGCAAAGGAAATAGACAAACAGATAGAAGCTGAAAAAAAAAGAAATAAATGAATATACAGCAACAAAGGACGTCGCCGATAGAATATTTTATTTTTTAATGTTGATCTTTGATTCTATAAACCTTCTTGACCGAATTCTTGGGTAAATTTTTGATATTTTACCAATTCATTTTCACCTACTGTTGGTTTTTGTGTAGCAAGAGCAGCTAACATATCCGACTAGAAATAATCAAATTAGTAGTAATTTCTACGAATAAAAAATTATAAATACTAACTATGCTGACTGGTGGTTCGCACAATTCTTCAGATTTTATTTTATCTAATGTAAGTTCTTGAGCTTCTGGATCTCCGGGTGAACAAACAAGCCAAAGATGCCGAGGACCATCAGGGTTTGGATTCGGTATCTATGTTAAAATCATAAAATTATTCGATGAGTAACAAAGATTGAAGAGAATCTACTCGTTTGAAATGAGTTGCTGAACTAAGTCGTCGAATAGGTCTTA